CCTTTTTTGCATACTGTAAATTGTTGTGTCTGAGTTTGACACAGTGGCAGCAGAAAAAAAAAAAAAAACACTTCACTTCAGAAAGCTCAAAAACTTACCAAACGAAAAACTTTTACTTGAGCCAATCAACTTTTAAAAATTATATATAAGTGCTTTACTAATAGTCAAATTCACCATGATACATCCATTCTGTGTAATATTTAACAGCAGCAGTATTTCAAGTAGCTGGCTCCAATAAGAACAATCCACTAGAAGAGATAAAAGTGTACCAGATTTCCCTTGTTATAGTTTCTGTTGCTCAGAAGCTTCTTTTTTTCCTATGGAGTTTCCTACCTTTTCTTTAGAATGGAGTTTTAAGGCCTCCTAGCTAAAGTTATTTCTTGAGTTGACTATATCTGCTTTCAAACTATGCAGTTACTTACTTGTGTACCTAATGACCAGCTTCTCTCAGCACTTCTGGTCTTATCAGAAAAAGAAAAGCTACTTCCCAGAGAATATTACCTATTTTCCTGAGTTCTTTTGTTCATCTGACTTCAAGCAAGGAAGCCTTTGGATAACTGTGAATAGAAACTAACTATCTTCTTTGCCATAAGACAAAACCATTTTCCTGAACTCATCTGCATAAAGGAGCCTATTTATGGGGTCTCAATTGCTGTCTTATATGTATCATGAAATACACAGCCTTGTAACCCTAAAGAAAAATATATAATGAGATGCAGTTTCTCAAGTCCCTTTATTGAAGCAGAGCTGTATCATTCAACAAGAAATAAATTCACTTTCTAAAACAGGCATAAATAATTTTGCTACGAGATCTTATGCATATTCCTCATTCTCTTAGTAACTTTCCAATATTTGATTTTTTTAGTCTTACCTAATGTTAAATCAGAAATAATGTTTGCTGCCCCCACTCACAGGAGTAGTAGATTCTGCTAGAACCAGTCAGGATCCCTGTTCCTGTCAATGTTAACAGCACTCCAATTTCATAGAATTTTGCATTTGCCCAGTGCTTGCGTAGAATGGATTCTGCTTCATCATCAAAAAATTATTTCAAGGCTCAGGTTTTGTTCTGAACATGGCATAAGAAATGTGCATAAATAAGACTCTTTTTTATGGCCATATCTCAACTACTTGTTTATGGTATATTTTCCATCATTATATATTTATGAAATATGAATATTGGCTCTCTACTTGAATAAATTTCAACTGTTATGATGATTTTACAGAAGTCAGTAAAAAAAGAACAGACCTCCTACTTTCCTTTACAATTCTTTAGTACACACTTTGTGCTACTTTGTCAATTAATTAAAGTTTCTTCTCTCAGTTTCATTTCACTCATTTCACAAATATTTATGGAAGCAGTCCCCCAAGCCAAGCTCTGCACCCCTGGAGAGAAATCATACCTTGAGCCCTGTGACTCTTCATGGTGTCCTGGGACAGGCAAGACAGACTTGACTCAAATGGAAAAAAATTAAATCAGAATTTCTGTCTTTAATAGGTCATTTTAGTGGGTGGATATTTTATACTATATAAAAATGATTAGTACTTCCAAGCTGTTTAATGGTTACTAATATATAGGGGTATTGATATCACATTTTGAATGAGCTTATCTACCCAACAATATTCATTATATAATTATTTTCTCATTAGTATTTTCCAACAAAATAAATAACTTCTAATTTGAATTCATATATTTGATGTATTATCAGCTGAAAAGGCAAAGATGTTTTTCTTGCACTATGTATCTTGATTATGGACAGACACACAATTTTGAGTACATCAAAATAACAGAAAATTTCTGTTACTGACCCAGTTGACCTTCACCGATCTAGTCCAATTTCCTCATTTATTAATATCATATCAGTATAACGTTTTTCCTGTTGACCTGACAATCTGTAGTTTAACTGTAGCAGCCTCTTTTCTAAACATCTATTTTGAGTGTTTCATGAGCAGGCTTTGTCCCTGGAAGGTAGAAATTGGATGGGAAAAGGAAACAAATTTATGGCCCTCATAAAGACTCAAGGTGCTTTCCTACTTGATTCAAGTGGTTGCTTAACAGGCATGAAGTGCTGGTGGTATTTGATGACTCTTTTTGCTAATTTATGTCATCATGGTTGTTGCGTGGATAGTTATTAGGGCGGGGAAGAGCAGGAGGAGCCAGCAGAGCTGAGGTGGGGCTCAGGTGCTCAGTGGGGGCTGCCCCAGGATTGCACTGACTGCCCAGAGCTCTTGACCTCCCTTACTCCACCCCCTTCTCCAAACCCCCCAATCAGATCTTTAATCTTATTCTCCTAAACTGAGATAAGATGATGAGCTATGCTGCTTTAAAACCACTTGACATTAGCATGGGGGATATTTGAATACTGAATCGAGGTGGAAAGCCCAGCATAATATATTTATTAAAATTTTTAATATCCCCAAGGAAAGAAAATAATTGTAATATGCATGATGAGATGATGTAGGCTATGGCTATGTGATGACTGAGAATATCTGAGTCACTTGAGCTTTAACAAAACATCTCCTCAGTTGTGTTTCCTTAAACTGAAACTATTAGTTTTCTTTTTAAAAAGTGCTTTTACTTGTTAATTAACAGGCAATACTTGCAAATATTTATGAGTATGACATTTTCATACATGTATGAAATCAAGATAACCAATATTTCTATTTCCGTAACATTTGTATATGTCGAGAGGCTTTGAACTCCTATCTTCTATTCTTCATGACTTGAAAAGTAGGTCAATGTCAACTCTCTGTCTGGATATCCATTCTCCACCTCCCTCTATTCTTTCTTCCCACAAGCCTGAACTTGACATTCCTCTAGAATCATGTTTCTTCTGTATCACATGAGTCCCTCCGTCCCTTTTTTTAAAAAATTTACATGATATTAAGTAACTATAATGACATATACAGAATTGTTCATAGCCATTACCATCTTTTGATGAGTTTATTGATTAATAATTTCTATTTTCTTTATTCTTCTCTGGATATAGTTAAGATTTTTTAGAATGAATATGCATTGCTTTTTAAAATCATGGGTAATAAAAGATGTAAAACTACATCATAAAAATCCTATGTGTGTCCTTGCCCCAGCACAGCAGGCTTGTTATTTTTTGTTGAGTATAGCCTATCTAAGTACCTGATGGCAAAAATATTGAGCCCTTGCATTTACATAGTTTTTAGAAGATTTTCTCACATGGGACATATAACAGTACTTTATGAACTTAGTGATGGTGACAGGACAGACTAAAATATTGCAAAATAAGGAAACTGTGGATTAGGTGTTTTGTTTGCTAAGAATTGTGTGATTATCAAATAACATAAATAGAGCTACTTCTGAATCCTGGCACAGTTTTCTTTTTTTTATGTGCTCTAATTTATATGTGTTCCCATGTGCATAAAATTCTGCAAAAGTTCCCAAGAAACCTATAAGAAAATGTAAGAGCCAGTTCCTACCATCACGCAGTTTAAAATGTAGTAAGAATAAAAGGACATGTACTGACAGTTAATTAACAAGTCCATCCATGGCACAGATTAGAAAGTGCAGGGCCTAATACAGTGAGTGGTACACAGAAGGCACTGGAGGGAGGATGGATGGATGGATGGATGGATGGATGGGTGGATGGATGGATGGATGGATGGATGGATGGATGGATGGGCAGGCAGGCAGATGGAAAACAGAAAGACAGATGGATTGATGAATTAAATACTTATAGAATATAAAGGAGAAAAGTTAATCTTCACATATGTTTGAATTTCAATAAAAGCTTTGACTTCTTATTGTTCAGAAAATACTTCAGGAAGAACAAGATATATCAGCAAGAGCTTTAGGAACTTTGAGTCTACAAAAAGTAGGAATGAAGGGAATTTCAAGCCAAAGGCTCATCATGAGCAAAAGCAGCGCAGCAGAAAGATCCAACTTTGACTAGAACCTGTAAGAGTAGCTTTACAAATACAAAGGGTTTGATGAGGAGACTGTTTTGAAAGGAGAATGGGACTATGTCAGAGGACATCATGAATTTCAAGCTGATGTACTTAAATGATCTATAAGCACGGGAAGCTATAAAAAATTTTTTGCATAAAGCAATTAATGTCATAATGAAAACTTTTAACCAAACTCTGATAGAAATGTCTTCCTGTTGAATATAAAGATAGAAGAGTTCAATACAAAGTGAAAATGTTAAACATTCAGATGTGATTTTAAGGTATTTTCAGAAAGAAATGCATGTGTAGTTTACTCTATCATTTAAATATTCCTCTACTTAATTGATATTTCTGAGCCAGTTACATCAAATTCAGCTTTAGATCAATAGGGATTCTAATTGAGAACAGATTCAAAGACAAGAAACTAGCACAAAGGTCTAGAGGCCTCCAAGTATCTATGCATATAGTTTAATAAATTTTTATATGCTAGGAGAAAGATCATAATTTATGTCTTCTGGGGTACTTTACCAAATTACTAGATATGTCAGAAAAAAATGATATTTCTTACATGTTGAGTTCTGCTTGCTCAGAAATTATCTATAATTTTCTTTACACCTATTAATTATTTTACCTCACAAAATCAATAATGTCATCATTTTTAAATACAAATGATTAACAACAGGTCCCTGAAGGAAACAAGGTGGGTTAGAATCCAGCTTGACCACGGACAGGCTAGTCAGTCTTGGCCAGGTTTCCCTCCATTCCTCAAGTTCTCTCCTCCATGAATGATGACAATAATCTCACTAACATCTTAAGATTGTAGGGAGGCTCAAATGTAAGAATATGGACAAGCATTCAACATGTAATAATAATGTATAAAGGATAGTCATATTATTAATAGTTGATGAATAATACACTTTCATCTTATTTATTTGTTTTGTTTTCAAATCTTTGCTAGGAAGTTAGCTAAGAGCCCACTGTTGTGTGTCTGAGGTCTCAGCTGAGTGACATGGTAACTCAGCCTGTGTAGTATAGGTTGCTACTAACCACAGCAAAGCTGACCAGCCTCTTGCCTTCTGCAGTGAGTCATCTCTATGGATTCGGACTGATGGATGCGGAAGCCATGGTGATGGAGGCAGAGAAGTGGACCACTGTTCCCCAGCAACACATGTGTGTGGAGAGCACAGACCGGCAAATCAAGTAATGTGTGCTGCCCGCTGACCACATGACAATGCCCCCAAAGGACAGAGGCTAGCGCATGTCCTCCTGTCACATGTAGGAGCTAAAAGCTTCTGTAGTTTGTTTCTGATGAAATTATAAAACTGTGATAGAATGGCTAGGATTCTAAGCTCTTCAATGTTCATTAGCATAATCCAGGATCCTTAAAAGGAAAGAATCCTTTCAAAGGGGATTTGGAGAGCCCCTTCCTGGTAGGCTTTCCAAAGATTTCTACCCTGTCAGTATCTCTATTTGATGGTGCAAGAAGTTGGGATACTTAAAAAATAAAATTATTGAATGTTCTGGAAACTAAAGCACATGCATGCAGTTATCCAGAGAGTGGTGCAAAGCAAATGAGATTGCAACTTACTAGCAACTGTAGGGCCTATTCCCCAATGTTAGCTGCAAACTCAGAGCTATGTGGACAGCATTTACCAAACAATTGTGTGGAGTGGCTCCCATGGGTAAAAAATCCAAGGAAGAGAATTTCCTCTCAGTGGCCTGCTTAGTGATTGTTCTTGGCTATCTTCTTAGAGACTTTTCTTTCTGAAAAAAAAAAAAATTCTAAACCTGGTTCATGATGAAACTCGAGTCACTATAAAACTTGAGAAAATTTTTTTAGGAAGCAGAAAAAAAAATGGACTCTCTCGGGCAAAGAATGAGAGGAAGAAAAAACAAAGGAGTTAAAAATTAATCAGTATTCAACACTTATGTACCAAGCCAAGAGCTAGAAACTTTGTGCATGTTTTCTACTTAAAACTTCCTAACAAATCAGGCCTGGTGGCGCACACCTATAATTCTAGCTACTCAGGAGGCAGTGGCAGGAGGATCACTAGATAGAGGCCAGCCTGGACAGCTTTGTGAGACCCTGTCTCCAAAAGAAAAAAGAAAAAAAGAAAAGAAGGAGGCTGGAGTTGTAGCTTGGTAATAGAGTACTTGCCTGGTACATGTGAGGCACTGTATTCAATCCTCAGTGCCACATAAAAATAAATGAATAAAATAAAGATATTTTGAAAAAAAGAAAGAAAAAAATTAACTTTCTAATTTCTATTTGACAAATGAGACAATGGGATAAAATAAAATATTTGTTCATTCATTCACAAACATATTCATCAACTAAGCAACTACTTCTCTTGTACTTAAATACTAGGGAGGAAAGGGAGCTAAAATACTAGGGAGGAAAAGGAGAAATAAGAAATGTTCCCTGCCGTTATGAGGCTTAGAGTCTAGAGAGAGAGTCAAACAAAAATGCTAGAAGGCTGTAATAAGTAGTATGATGACAAATTACAAACTAATTCTGAAAATTATAAAAGATAGGAAATTAAAGATAGGGAACAAATCTCGCCTGTGGTTCAATGAAGGTCTCAGAGAGGTGAAATTTAAGCTTTGACATTGAAGGAGGAAGAAGAGCAACCACTGGATATGTGATAAATAGTACTTCAGGCAAAGTAGTGTGTGCAAATTCCTCAAGATGAGAAACTTGGATTATCCCAGAAGTTAAACGGATGCCAGTGTAGTTGGACCCCAGTGTTCAGGGGACAGTGGCACGGGAGGACACTAGAGAGGAAGGGAGGACCTTGTGAGAGGAAAGAGCACGCCCGGGGTTATAGCCAAGGAGTCTGTAGACCAGGAATGTGAAGCAAGGCGTTGCTCATTCCCCAGCCTCCTCTCTACTGCAATGCAGTTATTCTCAAAGCGCATTCCGTAGATCAGCAGCATCACTGTCTCCCAGGAAACTCTAAGTTAGAGATGAAACTTCCTGGGACCCACCCAGACCTACTCAATCAGCCTCTCTGGGACTGCGGCCCAGCCATCTGTGTTTTAGCAAGGGGATTCCAATGCACACTTATGTTGGATGCCCACTTCCTGTATGAAGACAGTCACTAACCCTATATGTGGCCACCCATTTGGGTGTTAGCACTATGATCCTTTAATAACCAGTGGGCAGCTGCTTGCCTTACCATACTTAACACTCATTCCAACCTTCCAGGGTCACTCTGCTGAGTGCTGCTGCATAGTTTGCTCAAAACACTCTTTTATCTCTCTCTCTCTCTCTCTCTCTCTCTCTCTCTCTCTCTCTCTCTCTCTCTCTCTCTCTCTCTCGCAGAACAATTCGCCCCAACAGTGCAGTGCGCTCCATCTACAAAGCCTCAGGCTGCTCTGACAACCCCAACCACCACGTCAACTACCTGGAGCACGTAGTTGTGCGCATCACTATCACTCACCCCCGGAGGGGCGACCTGGCCATCTACCTGACCTCGCCTTCAGGAACCAGATCCCAGCTTCTGGCCAACAGGTACAGTGATAACCTCTGCCTGCTATTGTGGGGGTCACAGCAATGCTGAGCTGTCCTTAACAACAGAAAGGGACCACTGCTACTTACTCCTACCCCGAGAGCCAACTGAGGAGCCACTAGCTGTCATGATCTCATGCTCATAAATCAGAGTGGGAAACTGCCTAACAACTATAAACAAGGGAAAGTATGGCATTTAGTAGTTGGATAATTTAAAAAACCAACAAACAAAAAAAAAAAAAAACACTGCAGAAAAATCGAAGACCACTTGCTTTTTGCCCTATAAAAGAATTGCAGAGCTCCAAGATGCCTTCCATTGTCTCCTGACATTTGTTACAGATTAACTGAATTTGCTTGCCCAAGCACTAACTTTCCTAAGTTAAAGGAAATTCTATTTTCTAAAGCAGATGTTGAAACGTTTTTCTGCAAAGGGCCAGATAGTAAATATTTTGAGATTTTGTAGGTCATGTCTATATCCCAGTGACTCAACTCTGCCATTAGAGTACAAAACCACCATAGACCATAGAAACAAATGGTTGATGACTGTTCCAATAAAACTTTATTTACAAACAGACAGTAGGTCACATTTGACCTGAGGCCTGTAATTTGCATATCCCCGTTTTTAAGGTTGACCCTTCGGTCTTTTTTGCCTTAGAGGGTACACAGCTTGTCTTTTTATCCTCTTTCCTTCTCGCCGTTCCCTCCTGAACATTTTACCACACAGGTAGGTAACTATATTGTATGTAGGCTGGTCCTGCAGAAGGAATAAGACCAGAATGTTCTAGTACAGCTTTTTATTTTCTCTCTCTGTTGACGTTTGGAGTGGTTGGAAGCCTGGAAGGGTGTTGTCACCGTTGGAATTAGACAGGGGAGATGTCAGTGTGTCTTTCAGGCCTTAATCTCATTTCCAAAATGCCTAGAAGCTTCTTTAATTTGATTTTTTTTGTTTGTTTTTTCCCAGAGGAACATTTAATGGGAGAAAACCCCTTTCTCTCAGTAGCATATACAGTCCAAATAATGAAAGTGGACCTTTTATGTAAGTTCAACCACCTACCCACACTCCAAGTGTCATGTCAATGGTGATCTTCGTGAGGACACTAACAATGAGCCAGCGGAACCGAGAGGCCAGGGTCAATACAAGTTTGTAGAACCGAATGAGGATTTGCATTTTAAAAATCCTCAAATTTCATTCACGGCAAAAAGTGAGAAAAAGAGCAATAGCATTTCTAGGTGAGAGACTAGGCATACAGACTCTGAAATCATCAAGTGAGGTTTTATTTCTGTGCTTGAACTTGCTGTTTTCTTCTTTCAAAATTAACATCTTCCATTAGGACATGGTGAAACCTGGTCTTAATACTTTTCATATGAGGTGCAGCTTTGCCAGGGTAAGTACGCAGGTGCAAGGAACGTCAGGTTTCCTTGGCATCAGCTCCTGGAGCACTTCCTCCATGCCCTCCTCCCAGTGTAGACAGAGGTCTCAGCTGCTGCCTGCCAGGTAATTGCCACTACCTGCCTGATGCTTCTTTCCAGCAAGCAATTCCGTGATTAATGGAGGTCTTACCAGCTCTTGTTACCAAAGCCAGGGAAGGCCTTAATTTTTTTTTGTTTGTTTGTTTGTTTGTTTTTTTCCCTTTGCTTTATGACTATTCCTCTGCGTTTAACTTTGAGTAATCTAGTGAAACACTACAAAGTGCAAAGGTTTGCTTCACATATGTAGCTCTTATGCCTTGAGTCCCCTTCCTTATAGAAAACAGTCCCTCCACTGTTGCTGTTTGCTTGGGAAACTCAGTCTCTTTTGCCTCTCGGGGCTCTTCCTGCATATTTTGCCTTTCATTGTTGGCTTCCCCCAAAAAATGACATCAGTGGGGAAACTTGCAAGCAGAGCAGCTATGGATTCCATCACAGGCATGTGGTGGATTGCAAGGTCACTGGCTTCAGGCTCACATACATTCTTCTGCAACTGACATCTGCTTTGGGCTTTGCAAAATGCTGAATGCAATAGTACTGCAGGACTCACATCAGAGATAAGAGAAAGGCGTCTCAGACATTAGTGACTTGTGCTCACAGGTTTACCTCAGTCTCCCCCATTAAGACCACTGGGAATAAGGTTTGCACCCAGGGTGCCCCAGTTGGAAACATCTTAACATACTGCTCTCTGTATATCCTTTAACTTAGCCCTGAAAATACATAGCCATCAAAAAGAGGTAGCAACATTGGAGATTAGAGGCCCTGCAGGCACTGAGAATTGTAAAGGATGTTATGAATTCATCTACCTACAGCTCCCCAAAACGATCGCTCTGGGCAGCCAACCCTTTTAAATGTGAAACAGCTGCACCCAGTCCCATAGCCACCAGTGGCCCCCTTCCAGGGCCAGGCTCCCCAGTTCTTGTTGTGCTTCACATTGGCAGTCTCCCTCCTACCCAGGCAGCTAGAGAAAGACAGAGGTTTTTGGCATTCTTTCCTTCTGGCATATTCTGAAGATTTCATTTTATTAGAGGAAATCTCTAGTCAAAACCTCTCCGTCTGACCTAGTGGCAAGGAGTCCTTGCGTCTTCTCACCTTGGCCCTGAATCAAAGCACAGTCCCAGAACGGGGAGCTGAGAACAGGGAGCACAGAAAGAGACAGAGGGGCGGGAGGAGGAAAGACAAGCTTTGCTCCTGTGTCCTTCGTTTTGGTGTGCAAGGCACTACTCCTCCCCCAGGGAGAAAGGTGGCTAGGTCATGTTTTAGAAGGAATTCATTTGTCAGACTTTATTCATAAGAGCCATTGTTTTAGTCAGCTGTTGCATCACTGTGACCAAAATACCTGACAAGAACAACTTAGAGGAGGAAACGTGTGTTTTGGCTTGTGGTTTCAGACGTTCAGTCCGTGGTCTGGACTCCATTGCTTTGAGCCTAAGGTCAGGCCATGGTGGAAGGGTATGGTGGAGGGAAGTTGCTCTGCACTTGGTGGCCAAGAAGCAGAGTGGTGAGGAAGAGAGTTTGCAGGGAAAATGAATCTTTACCAGGGCTGAGCCTAGTGACCCACCTTCTCCAGCCCCTCCCTACCTGCCTACAATTACTACCCGGTCAGTCCATTCAAAGAAGGATGCACTGATTAGGTTACACTGCTCATACCTGATCATTTCATCTCTGAATATTCCTGCATTAATAGAAGAGAGGGTCACCTCTTATCCAAATTCTAACATCAATAAATGGTTTCCTTGTTGGACACTTATCTTTGTTTCACAGAAGTCAAGATTTCTAAGAAAATCATATAAAGCAAGTTAAAAGCAGGGATTACAAAAATTTAAAACCAAGTTTTCCAGGGCTGGGCTTGTGGCTCAGCGGTAGAGCACTTGCCTAGCACGTGTGAGGCACTGGGTTCGAGCCTCAGCAACACATAAAATAAATAAATAAACAAGATAAAGGTATTGTGCCATCTATAACTAAAAAAAAAAAAAAAATTCTCCTAGCAAGGATGATTAGAGATGAAGATTTAGACTTCTACCAGCCGCCCCACCTCTCTCTTATCCTTCCAGGAGGTGCGACTCTCTTCTCGCAGACTTAGAATTCCCCACACTGCATGCTTTAGTAGCCTGGCAGCCAGCATGGAAAACTCCCCATGGCTTTCAAAGCAGTCCCTCTGCCTTATAGTTCACTCATAGCCAACTACAGAAGGAAGGGTGCTGGGAGCCAGCTGGGACCCAGAATCTGGGGGCACAGTCAGGGTCATCTCCCCTTTGCGATGAAAAGAATAGAGACAGACCTTAAGTATAACCCGGGGAGGAGAGCCGAGATGACCGAGACTCTCCATGCCTTGTTATCTGAGACCCCTCGTCAGGTGTTGACAAAATATGTGGCCTACTTTGGGGACCTGAAAACCTGATCACTTTTCAGGGTTGGCTTTGCACAGGTCCTTGGTCATTTTCCTAGACATTTCACTGAGGAATTTTTTTCAGAATTGTTTACCCCCTCACCGCAGCGATTCCTTGACGGTCTGTTTTGTGCAAAGTGCTGAACACTTTGACACGTCTGTGTGGGCCGTCTGGAGCCCCTCAGTGGCTCCCTGTCTTAGCTGATGGGCACTTGCCCGAACTCCCGTGGAGAACAGCTGTTGGAGGGAGAATGTTTACCCAAGCGTCTGCAGGTGCTAAGCACTGGAAGGCACTCAGCAACATTTAGAAATCTAGTCCAACTTGAGCTTCTTGCCCCATTAGCCCAGCAGGCAACCTTCCCTGGCAAACCACATGGATAATTTAGTGGGTTGGAGCCATGAGTCAACAGAGCAGTGCTAGTGTGGACAAATGGTAGTTCCTTCTCTCACCTTTGTTCTCCCCTTGCCTTCCCACCCTTTCAGTCCCCCTCTTGGCCTCTATACCCTGCTTAACAAAAAGCCAAACAGAATATTCAGAGCAAATGGTTTATTTGATGGAGACCACCGAGATCAGGCATGCAAGGAAAAGCAAGGGGAGTTTTGGTCCTTTGAAGACAACTTTAGAGCCAGGCACAGTGGTATGTATACACATGTAATCCCAATGAATAGGGAGGCTGAGGCAAGAGAATCACAAGTTTGAGGCCAGCCTCAGCAATTTAGCAAGGCCCTAAGCAACTTAGCAAGACCCTTAGCAAGACAAAATAAAAGGGGCTAGGGATATAGCTCAGTGGAAAAACTTCCCTTGGTTCAATCTCCAGAATCAAAAAAAAGAAAATAAAGATAAGAGCAGATTTCAATGGAAGCTTTTACAGTACAGCATTCAAATTCTGCTTTTGTAAAAATTTTTCAAACAGAAGTTTGTCCCATCAAATTCTTCCATCAACTCTATTTGTTAGACTTATGAAAAGCTGCCTTTTTTTTTTCTGCCTCAATCTCTCCCACTCTCAACTCATTTCGTTTTAGATTCAGCTTAGCTCCATGGTACTCTGTTCCAAATTTTGAGCACCAACTAAAAGCTGAAACTTTGCCTCCTTCGAGATTTGTAATCTCAGTATAGTCTCGAGTGGAGAGAAGTTTGCTTTCTAAT